ATCATAAAAGGTAAGTGTCACCCATTTAAATATGCTTATAAAATTAAAAAATTACACTATCAATATATTTAATAATTTCGTCAAGATAGTGTTTCATAGCATTTTTAAATTTACTAAGGTACCATAATGAAAAAAGATTATATTTTATATAAAACATTACAAAAATAAAAAATACACAAATTATTTTTGAACTTATTATGAACATGAATTTGAAAAATATAAAAAAAATTATAATATAAAATAATTATAATTTTAAGAAGAAATAAAATTTTAATTTATATATTAAATAATTAATATTAACTATTGTTAATTTTACATATTACTTTATTTTATTGATAAAATTTTTTCCCATTTTTAAATGAGAATTAAATTATCATTTAAAGTAGTGATTTGATCACTGTCACATAAAATCATCAAGTTCTTACTAAATATAATGATCTAATAATCATATGTAAATCATCATAATTTTAAAATAATCACTTAAGGATGGCAACCTATTTCGAACCCATTAGGTTCTGAACCCGACCTATAATTTTTTTTTTTTTAAATCGAGATTCAAGTCGAGTCAAATAATAGGAGAAAAAAGTCAAGATTGGGTCAAGATAGGATTTTAGGCAAAAAATTTCTTAACCCAACTCGGTTTATATATAATTTTTTATTATTTATTTAATTTTATATTTATATATATTTTATATATATTTAAGTTTATATTTATATTTAAAAATAATATTTATATTTTAAAAAATAATAATTTATTAATTTTGAATCAAATCAAATGCAATTTTATAAAATATCGAATCAAGTCGAATATAAAAAATTAAAAAATTTATTAAGTCAAGTTAATATCAAATATAATAAATATAAAATTAGGTCAATTTAAAATGAGCAAAAATCAATTCTAATCTGATTCGTTATTATCTCTGATCATCAAATACCAAATACTATTTTAAAAAATATTTTCCGTAAGAATTGTGCTTTGACCTAAATTTGATAGGCTTGAGAAAGAATCAAAATTGGGCACTTTCAAGTTTTAAAAACCAAAATATTTTGGTTTGGTTTGGTTTTCCCTTGAAACGAATCCATATTGGTTCATATTCACCACTATTCTCAAGGACATTAGTTTGTATTTGTATGGTTTCTCTGATGTTGATTGGGCCATCTGTACCTAAACTGATGCGGCCATCCCAAGGCTTGTTTTTGTTTTTTTCAAATTTGATTTCTTGAGAGTGCCAAGTGGCACGTATTGCAATGGTTGACCACTCCTGGTCTGCACCTTGCTAGACCTTCCAGTCCACCTTGATGTGACAGATATGAGATCACTATACATCTCTTATTATCATTTTTAATGCTATGAACAAAACATATTTAGATCGATTACTTTTTCGTTCGTGAGAAAGTAGCTCAAGGAACTTTGATCATACGTTTTGTGCGCTTCTAATAAGTATCTTAACCAAGCCTCTTCCTTAATTTTTGAAATTCATTACTTGATTTTTCTTTTTTTTGAAACAGATGTAGAGATGATAGTTATTACTCATTTATATGTGAATTGCGAGTGCATTTGTAAATGCAACTGACCCCAAAGCCATCACCATTGACCTCCAAATATATAAATATATTTATATATAATTTTTTCAGGACCATTCCCATTTCCCACCATTTAAAAATTTGGGATTTATCAGTAGTTTGGAAATCTGGCCAACTTTGATCCATAATTTATTGCATCATTTTCACTTTTCTGGTTTGCGCGCGAAGGTCCATTTTTTTTTCGTGTGGTCTTATTGTGCGGAGAGGCTAATGTCACAACTCACGTAGTAGTTGAGACTATTCATAATAATTTATATTTTTGTGTCATATTTAATATTAATATATATAATGATATGAATTATTGAAATGTAAATACAACACGAATTATAAATATATTTAAATTTTAAATATGAATATAACATATTTATTATACGTATTATATATAACATAATAAAATTAATACTTATATAATTAATCTATTTAAATATAATACAAATAAATATGAATAACTCAAATATACATGAATATATATAATTATCATAGATATATATGAATAGATATGATTAACAGAAATATGTACAAAAATACGATTAAAATAATAAATAACTATAAACTATCAATCATTTACAATTTAATAAACTTAGTATATTAATAATATAAAAAATACTAACATATTAAAAAATAAAAAAATTTAATACCATTTAATATGTATTTAATATATATAATTAAATTTTAATATAATTACATAACTATATTAATTTTTAGTATCAAATTTAAAATGATAAACTATTAAAAATTAAAGAATAAAATAATAACGTATAGGACTAATAGTAATATTTATATTGTATTTAAATTATTAATATAAAAAATAATTTTATAATCATTATTAAATGAATATCATAATTAAATATTTAAAATAATTTTTATATAATATTAAATAGTTAATTAAGTATCATAATTAAAAAAATTAAAAATTAAAATAATTTTTATATATTTATATTAAATTAAAATAAATAAAAAAATTTGTTAAATATGTTAAACATATTAAACATGTTAAATGTGTATTTATATAATAAAATTAAAATAAACGTATTATTTGTGTTACGTCACATTTTTAGACTTATCAACATTAGAAATGGCATAATACCTAATTTTATATCCATAATATCCGAACCTAACCCAACCCAACCCAATGAATTTTTTTTTATATTTTTATACCAAACTCGACCCAAGTCAATATTATATAAACCATACTCAACTTGACCTAAAATTAATAAAATATTATTTTTTAATATAAATATAAAATTAAATAAATAATTAAAAATTTATTTATTTATATATATCAAGTCGGATTTGCCTAAAACTCGACTTTGATTTTTTTTTTATTATTATTCAACCTGATTCGAAACTCGATTAAAAAAAATTGACTCTAAGAGATCAAGTTGGGTTAGAACCCGTCAAAGATGGATTAAACTATCATTTCTAGTTAACACATAAAATATAAATTATATCGTGTCGACATGAATAAAAAAACATGTTTTTTAAAACACATATACGATTATTTTATATCATTTTCGTATTATATCATTATATAATATCTGAAATTATTAGTTTTCCTGGAGGGACCAGCTTCTCAACTTCTATACAAATTTTTTTTCTCGAAATTTAAAGCTCCATATCACCTTTTTTGCCTTCTTAGTTCAGAAGGAAATTACACAGAATTCTGCGTGGATGTGGCGAACTTGGAGGCCAAATCGCCGGTACTTCCATTCGAAGAGTCATTGTTTTTATTTTATAGAGATTTATTATGATGACCATGGGAATACATATCTATGTTTTTAATTATTGACAAAGATATGAAAGTGAATATTGGCAAAGCATAAATATGTTGATGGGAGGTGTGAATATAACTGGTACCGAGCAATTAACATGAAAGAACTACTTACATGCGCCATGCATTTTCCATACAAAATGATGGATATAATTTTAATGTTGACACTTGAGACTCTACCCATATTTCAACAATAATAAATTGCAACATTGTAACTTATTAAATCATCATTTTGGCCATAGAAACACTTTTTTTTAATGATTGTACCTTGGATCGTGTTTTGTTATGAAAGTTGTGTTTAAGGCCATGATTACCCAGTACCAATCAAAGACATTCTCCTTTAATGATTAGGATATAGCTTCTACCCTTTAACTACCACTAATATATTATCTGAGTATCATACTAAATCTCCCATTCTAAAGCTAAAAGCATCACTTAAATTTAGTATATTCAATCAAGACACCATATATAGCTAGCTGATGTGTGTACTTTTCATTCTTTTAACATCATGAAAATGATAACATTTGTTGACAAATAATAGTAGTGATTTTATCTTTCCTTTTCTTTTTTTAGGTTAATGTTACTCATAGCTTTTATTTATAATAAAATATTTAATATGATATTTAAATTTTTAAAAAATTTTATTTTATTTAAATTATAAATTTGTTAAATAATATGATAATCATCTCTAACTTATTAATTTTAAATAATAACACATATTAGATAAATAATTTTTAAATATCATATTAATTAATAAATTTATAATTTAATATCAAATTAAAGGTTTTTAAAATTTAAATATCACATTAATATTTTATTATAATTCATGCGCTATTCATTATTTTAATCCATTATATTCAACGATGATAAAGATAAAAAATTAATAGCAAGGCGCATGCAATCTCTCCTTTCTTTTTGGAGTTATACATCTAAATTTAGATGCAAAAGCTTTAAACCTTCTTATTACATTGTGGAAAGTTATCATTTAAAAAACCACTATATCCTGAACAAACAAATACTATAACAGCCAACTACACCCCTTTTTTTTTTTGTTGGTGTTTCATCTTCAATGTTTAACTCATCAAATAGATTATCAAACTAGAGTTTACATGACTTCATAATTGTATGTTTAGTATTTTTTTCTTTTCTTGTTTTATATTTACTTATACCAAAAGAAAAGCAAAAAACCTTGTTGGGCTATTATTTCCCGACTACCTTTGATGTGAATTTCTGTCCTGCATTTTTCTAAGTCCCAATTAGACCTATCTAAGGTTACATGTCTAATCTAATGGGTTTGGTCTGATTCGAGTTTTGGGTAAAATATTTTAAAATCAAACTCAATTTTTGTCAACATGAGATGTTATTTAATGAATAAATAATATTTTTATTTAATTTTAAAATATATTTTAACATATTTAAAAAAATTGAGCCTATTGAAGCCAACGGATCAAGTCTTAAGTAAAGATTTTCAAAGTACAATCAACCGAGAGCCAACAAAGCAAACCGTCCCACCACTAAATCCAACATAAAAAGCCCATTTCCTCCTCCCGCGATTACAGGAGTGAAAAAAAAAAAAACAAAAAAAAAAAAAAGTGGCACCAGACACATGTTTATGTACACTATCAAAACCAGAAAATTTTCGTAGTTTGACAAAGGCCAAGGAAACTTCCTGGCTTTTGCCTTTTATGTTTCTATTTTTATTTTCAGCGTACTTATCGTAAGCGAAGGTGCCTGTCTTGTCTTCGCGTGTCCAAAATTCTACTCATTTATCCGACTCTTTACCCACACTTAATGGATCTTCAAAAAATTCCTTCCTTTATTTAACGTTGTTATATATCTCCTTAAGATTCAGCTCTCTCTTTCCCAGGCACAAACATTTTAGGTACGGCTACTGTGAGCTTATTTGGTTGGTCGTGGATGGCTGAATGTTTGCCGGAATTGTACATCCGGGTCATGTTTTGAATGTGAATTTGGTTTCTTAGTTAGTTTTAGGAAAGGGTACTCTTAGCTTTGCTATATAAGAGTTCGTTTTGGCAATTGTTGTGTATTGGAGATCTCGGTTTTTGTTGATTTAATGATGGGAAGCTCGGAGGAGAAGGTGGTTGCTGTGATCATGGTAGGTGGACCCACTAAAGGTATGGCCTTTACGTTCTCAAGACTGTACTGAGATAAGTTCTTATGGGGAAATCTTTTAACTTGGATGTTGTGGATTGGATATGAAGTTTGTTTGCAATGAATAAGGAGATCTTCTGTCTTTGTTGTTTGGTTTATGTTTACAATTTGAAGTCAAATTACTGAATTTCTTTCTTTTTAAATTATTTGTTTGAGATTTCAGATTAATTTTTTTATTTTTTGGACTGAGAATTGCAATGATTTATTATTTCCTTTTCATTTTAATTTGGTCTAGCAGTAAGATTTTCCATTCAATTTGAAGCTTTAACATGTAATCTCTTCTAATTCTGTCTGCATTTTGCATATTGCAGGCACTCGGTTTCGTGCATTATCATTGAACATTCCAAAGCCTCTGTTTCCTTTGGCCGGACAACCAATGGTTCAACATCCAATTTCTGCTTGTAAAAGAGTATATTGTTTGATCTATACTACTAAAATATAATAATTCACTTTTTGTTTTATAGTTCGGGTATGTCTTAAGATCAATGCTTCTATTGTAGATTCCAAACCTAGCCCAAATCTATCTAGTTGGTTTCTACGAGGAGCGTGAATTTGCAATGTATGTCCCATCAATCTCTAACGAGCTAAGGGTTCCTGTCAGGTAACTTCTTGCTTTTGTGATCACTTAAATATATGACTTCTCATCAGGGAATTATTATGTCTTTATGACTGCTTTATCTTAGTGATAATACTTTGTTTGCGCTGCTATTAGATACTTAAGGGAAGACAAGCCTCATGGTTCAGCTGGTGGGCTTTACAACTTCAGACATCTGATCATGGAAGACAACCCTGTTTATATCTTAACCTGTTTCCTTTACATACGCAGACTGTAATTTGCACTGTTTGTTCATACATACTTCAATTTGACTTACTAAGTTAAATGTGTTGTGTGCTTTTCTTGTTGCAGTCTCATATATTCTTGCTGAATTGTGATGTCTGCTGCAGTTTTCCACTTCCAGAAATGCTTGGTAATCTTCTTTACAATGTTTGAACCTTGTAATTTATCAGTCTTAATTTTCTGATTAGAGTTTCTTGCTGATATATGCTATCGTGCCGTGTAGTGTGATTTTTTTTTTTTTTTTGCATTGCCAAAATCTCTGATATCAATATCTTAGGACTAAAGGGAAGTTGGCACAGATAGAATGGCAAGGAGGTTTGTTTATTTTTGTTTTCTTTTCTTTCTGGAGGATTAGTTATGCCTTTTTACCTTTTTTGCATTCACAGAGGCTCACAAAAGATATGGTGGTATGGGGACTATCCTAGTAATCAAGGTTGGTCAGCACACTTGCAAGTTGCAAGATGTTATCAATAGGAAATTTTTGTCATGGTGTGATCTTTTTGTCCTGATATATGCTTCTGTAGTTTGGCCTTATTCTTCTTCTCTTTGTAGGTTTCAGCGGAGTCAGCCAGTCAGTTTGGGGAGTTGGTAGCAGATCCAGTCACCAATGAACTGTTACATTACACAGAAAAACCTGAAACTTTCGTATGTGCAGTATCAGAGATTCAACTACAATTTGTCGAATTCTGTAATTTTTATTATTTCTTTGAACATTGGAATTTAATGCTCTGCTGTAATATCTTGCCATAATGCAGGTAAGTGACCATATAAATTGTGGTGTCTATGTATTCACACCAGATATTTTTACTGCCATCCAAGGCGTTTCCTCTCAACGGAAAGACAGAGGTAGGTGATACTAGATCTTTGAATAAGATTTGTGTTTTTAATTTCAAAGTTGCTATATTTACAGCTTTGTACTTATTTGAAACATAAACTGAATGTACTGGCATGTTCTATTATTATGGCTTCATTTTTAATAATAGAGTGAGTTTGTCCTTTTCAAGTTATGCCATCTTTCCTCATCATGATCCGATAGAAAACTTTTACTTTTATCATATTTCTTTTACATCTGAATATCATTAATCTTCATCTTGCTGAAATCTAAATTCATGTTTTGCTACCTGCAGCCAATCTGAGACGTCTCTCCAGCTTTGAAGCCCTCCAATCAGCTACAAGGTATGTCTGTAGCAATAGTAGGTGCATTCCATACATTTTGCTCTTTCTTTGTCTTTAGGAATCACACAAGTAAAGTTTCTCTTAGTTTAGGTTACTTCATTTCTACCTCCATTCACATCAAGCTATGCTGATGAAGTTATCGTTTGTGGCATGCCATGTTATTTAACATTTTCAACATGTTCTGATGCATCAATCTTCTTGTTCAAACAAAATGCAAATAATAGATTAGAATAATGCTTAGTATATGCTTTCCATTGATCAACGGAGTTTCATATTGTTTCCCTACTTTTTAAAAAGCCATCAAAATGTCCATTTGAATATTTGACACATGTTATTTCTTGTTATCTTGCCATGGGGGTGTTATGCCTTTATTGCTAAAATATCAGTTACCAGGAAAAAAAAACAGGGAAGCAAGTTTTTTTTGGGGGGGCCCATACAGTTTTGTTTTCTACGCTATAATGTAGCTATATAGGTAAAAATACACATGATAATTACAGACACACTATTTTAGTGTGGCTGGGTTTGGAATCTAAATGAAATTGAGTCATGCACATATGTCTTGGGACTGTTTGAATCCATATTGTGATTTTACAAACTGGGTACAGCCTTCTGTGGGCATTCTTTTGTATAGAGAAATACTTACAATATTTTTATTTTGAATTTAATTTCTTTAATTTGTTGTTACACTTATCATTAGCCGATTTTGTATCTAGCGGAATCCAGATGTGTATCTCAACATGTATCCTAATACAAGTTCCTTTATCAGGAATCCTCCCTTAGATTTTGTAAGGTTGGATCAAGACATCCTGACTCCTTTTGCCGGGAAGAAGCAGTTGTATACATATGAGACCATGGATTTCTGGGAACAAATTAAAACCCCTGGGTAAGCCAGACTGTTGTACTTGTTTCAGTAGCTTCCACTTCTTTTTTCATCCCCTTCTTCATTTTGTCCTCTAGGCTTTGTATTGTTTTTTAATGGAAACAGAGGATAATCAAAATCAAAACTAAAACCAACCAAGACTCTAGGAGGAATTGCACAATTACAATGAAGAAGCCTATCATAATTTTCCCCTTCAGGTAAACCTGATATTTCTATGTTAATATCTGCAGAATGTCCCTAAAATGTTCTGCTTTGTATCTTGCCCAATTTCGGTTCACCTCTCCTAATCTATTGGCTAGTGGGGATGGTACGAAAAATGCCACCATTATTGGCGATGTTTATATTCATCCTTCAGCAAAAGTACATCCAAGTGCTAAGGTAACACCCTTTCATTTTTTTGTTATCATGATGTGCGCCCAGAGTAACACACTGTTACTCTAGGTAATTTGTCTCGTATAAAGTTTTCTTTGGTAAATGGAACTGTAGAAAATTTAGGACCTTCACAGATTTTTTATGTCCCCTCAAGTTCTTGTTGTAGTTCCACATATCAGACCCACTTTAAATTGATGACAGAGTATATGACAGATGGCTGTGCTTATTGAGCGAAGAACACGTATCAGAATACATTTCTGATACTTATATGCTATTTTTCATTCTAAGGTCCAATTAGTATCCACAGAGAGTAAAGGACCATTTTACACCAAAGATGTTGTTACTCCTTTCCACTAAATGAGCATTGTCTTTCTTTAGTGTTGTCTGCATCATCTATGGGATTGACTAGTCCGCTATATGTTGGAACAGATTGGTCCCAATGTCTCAATATCTGCTAATGCTCGTATAGGAGCAGGTGTAAGGCTCATCAGCTGTATCATTCTTGATGGTGTTGAAATCATGGTATATAACCAATTTCCATATTTCTAGTCAGTGTAAAAATTTACCCTTGAGTTTTCCTTGAACCTGATACATGTATAATAATTTATTTTTTTGTTTCAATTGATAATTCATGTTTATTCTGTCCTCAGGAAAATGCAGTTGTTTTTCATGCAATTGTCGGGTGGAAGTCTTCTATTGGGAAATGGTCCCGTGTTCAGGCAAGTTTAACTTATGGTTATGTTTACATGATATTGATGATTGAAAGGATGCTGTTTTTTGTTAATCGGCTAAATGCTAATTTCCAATTTTTATTGACTTGATTCATTGATAATATCTTAAATTCGATCAACCTGTTGCAGGCTGAAGGAAACTATAATGCAAAACTTGGAATTACAATTCTTGGTATGTTGCATATGATACGACTCTTATTATTTCCATTCCTTATCGTAATATAAACTGCTATTTACTATGCTCAATCTGGTATTTGCATATATTTGTTCCAGGAGAAGCAGTTGATGTTGAAGATGAAGTAGTGGTCACCAATAGCATTGTCCTTCCGAACAAGACACTAAATGTCAGTGTGCAAGACGAAATACTTCTATGATATCTGATCCGTTTCCAATTTGCCAACCACCAGACTCTCCTATCTGCCGCTTATCTATCCTTTGTTGTGATGTAGCGGTCATTACTCTTTTCATTTTTTCAAGTAGGAAAATCAGAGTCTTTCATAAGTTAATTTACCCATATGTAAATAGACATCTTCGAATTAGAATAAAAAGAAATTTGGTTTTTGGACGTTTTATTTTCATTATTTTTCTTGTACCAAGATTTAAACCTTGATTAATAAAACTAAAAAAATTAATATTCTACAAACAAGCCAACACGATTATTAAATATATACATATACATATATTTATATATTCAAATGCTAGGCAAGTTATTGTACGCTGAGAATTGGGTAGTTCAAAAGGACCTTTTTGGATTAGATAGAAGTCAATACTACATTTTGAGGTATAAAAATGCAACCTCCAGAAAATCACACTATACCATTTTGGGGCAATTGAGTTAAGAGTCACATGACATCAAATATTAGTGCAAGAAACCTATTCAGATCAGACCATTCTCATTATCTGAAGCATATTCATTGATGTTAGCAGGAAAAGCTGAAATTTATAGTGATTGAAGAAATAACTCTTGCAGTGCACTCATTAGCTCTTCCCAATGCAGTGATTAGAAGAAAAAAAAACCCCAAATTTATCTAACCAACTGGAAATTGGCAGATGATGATTTGAAATTGTCTAGGACATAATGCATCTACTTTTTGAGTGAATTGGTGTGGTAGTGCTGCCACTCAAGTTGGTGCAAAGAAAAATGCATCCAACAAGAAGTCATCTCTTCTATGTAAAAGAAAATTGTAAAAGTAGGGGTAAAAGATTGGTTCCCAAACGCTGTACTTGGTTATTTTGAGCAGTCCACCGAGGAAAGCAAGGGCTGCAGCATTAGGAAATTTGTTGTATTGGCTTCTTTCCTGCAACTTCCGTATACCATGATTTCCACGCTTCCATGTAATGAGAAAAGAGGTCCCTTAAAGCTGCATTATGTCAGCAAAATGATATTTGTATTAGAATTATTACTTGTTGCTATCAAATGACAAGGAGCATTCATTCTAGTGAGCACTGCTAAACTAGTAACAATGTGCATAATCAGCGAAGCAATACCTAAGAAAATGCGCACAGCCAAAATGAAAACAAGTCTATGGCGTAACAAGCTAAAGGGGCAGGCACACAAAGGTACTAATGCCACAGAAACTGAGAAAAATGCTGAATAGACCAAAAGTGCTTAGATAAAATGTTATATGTCAAGCAGCTGGTTTTAAATTTTTATAGATCAAAATTCTTTATTTACTTGCAAAAAATACAAATTATAAAGAAGAACAAAATTCCCATATGAAACTTCAATAATATTCAGTTACTACTACTTTTCATGCTGACCAATTTTTCATCGCATTAGCCATAAAACAAAAGGCACTGTTACAATCAAAATAATGCACTCATTTGAATAATGGAGCATTAAACTATACGTTACCTTGATTGTGATATCGAGGACGGTAAGTGGAAGCAAGACTCTCCCAGTCATGAACCCGCTTTGCATTGTTCTCAGAGTTGCCAATATTGGTCAAGCTTATAGGAGCAAAAGGACCAAATTGATAGCTCCTTGAACCATGTTTTGAATCCTCTGAACTGCTTCTATCAGCCACAGTCACCAAATTTTCAACTTTTATTTCCTTTTGCACCTTGCACTGATTGACATTCTGATGATTTGAAGAATCAACCTTATTCCTCTTGAAACTGATGTTTGTAACATCAGTTCCAAACAACCTTTTCTTAGACTCACGAACCAATGCATCCGCAGATCCTTTTTCTGATTTGCCTCTTAGCCCCAACCACCTAAATGCAGGTTTCCGGGTATCTACGGTATGGGTCTGCACAAAATTGATATAACATTAAGAACTTAAAAGCACCATAATTGAAAGTTTGTAAGAATAACAATTTCAGGCTGTAGAGTCGAAGTTAAAGAAGTTCGAATCTTTTCTAGTTTTCTCAATAATCTATTTACCTTCTCAATAAGATTCATGGAAGATAACACATTTGCAATGTCATATAGCCGCCTTACTTTTGCTGTTGAATCACCAAATGAACAACCAATTAGTCCATCAGTTTATCTCTTTATTGTTATTTCTCAATTCGGAATAAGGTGGGAAAAGTTGGGATTTATTACTTCTCATTATTGAGCTATTGTGAGCGTTACCAAGCAACAACCTCGCTGCTTCATCAAGGGAGATCAACTCAGCCTGAATAGCAGTTACCCAGAAACATCAAAATGATGACCAAACAAAGTAATCCAATGGCAATTCATGTAGAGCAAGAACAAGGCTCACATTAGAGCAGACAAATAGCTTGACAAAATTCTGAGTAAGTAGCCCCAGGGATTTTTCCCTTCGGTTATCTGCAAACAACAGAGATGGCCTATAAGATGTCATTAGGAACTGCCTACTAAAACTTCATTAAATTTCACTAAAACCGCCATATAAACAATGACTTTTTTGCATGTCAAATCAGAGCAGCCCATTTCAATTTTGCACATTAATCAAAATCAAAGATCTTCGGGCAATTACAACAAACAAATTTGTTGCAATTCAAACACGAAATTTACCAACTTTCCAGGATGCAGAAGACTTAAGAACAGAGCTGGGCTTGGAAGTCTCAGTCTGGCTCCCAGTGTAAGGGTTGGAAAACCCTTCATCATCTTCTTCGTCATCGTCATCATCAAATGAGACCTGGTACCACTCCAGACATAATGTTTTTCGTTAAGCAAAAATAAAAGAAAAGCTAATACTTTGATAGAAAAAGAACAATTAAAAAAAACTAATCTACTTACCTTAGCTTTATTGTTGGCATCAGAGTTTTTGAAATTACTAGTGAAACCTTCTTCCTACCATAAAATGAAACCACAAAAGAAATCAGCAAAATTATCTTGAATTTTCAACCATCTTTTACAACATTAAACTCAACAAAACAATAAAAGGAAAAAAAAAAAGCTTTGAATTTACCTTTAAATCTTGTAAAGCCTTAGGAATTGCCCCAAAACCTTTCCATGTATATTTATTCTTAGCCTTTCTTGTAAGAACCTAAACATCCATCAAACAAAAAAAAAAATTTCATCCAAAACCAACAAAAAGATACAAAATTGAAAAGAAAGAAGAAAATTACCCCAACACTTTCCAAGACATTGACAATATCATAGATCCGTCGTCTCTCAACTCCTAAAAATATGCCAATAAAAAAACTAAATCGGATCTAAAAAATAAAAATAAAATCATTGGTAAATTATTAAAAAATAAAATAAAATAAGGACCTAATTTTGCTGCGGCTTCATCAAGACCGATCAATTCAACGCCATCCTTATTATACATGCTCAAAAAACTGCAACGTAAAAATTAAAAAGAAAAAGTAAATCTTATAATTGAAAAAAATAGGACTTTAACGTGTGCGTGTGAGAGGAAACTGAGATTTACTTGGAGCACAGGAGGCCGAGAGATTTCTGCTTGCGGCTATAGGTGTAATGGCGGGAGGAAGATTCGGGAAGAGACGAAGAAGAAGAAAGCGGCATGTTAACGGCGGAGGAATGGGAAGGATTGCAGGAAAGGAGGGCGGAGGGGCGTTAAAAGAAGGAGAGAGAAGGTTTGGGCGTTGGGTTGGCGGCGGGGTGAGAATTTTTGAAAGAGAGGGAGGAATGGGATGGTTTTTGTTTGGGAATTGGAGGGATGGGAATTTAAACTTTTGAAACGCAGATTTGGGTAAGCGGGAATTTGAATTCAGTTATAACGACTATAAGAATAACAATAATATTATTACACGCTCCCCACAATCTCCCTCTCAATGAAAATATATTGGACGCGCCTTCCGTTTACTTAGATATAATACTAATAAAAAGATTTTCTCTTCTCATAAAAAATAAATATTTTTCCTTAACCACAATTAGGTGATTATTATTTTGATTGAATTGGATTTAATTTAATTTTTTTAAATATCGTGTATAAATTTTTAAATTTTGATTTAAATTTGAATATTTTTATATGATTTGAACTAAATTTTATTAGTTTAGTTCAATTTATTGATTTTAAATTTTTATATATTATTTTAATATAAAATTTTAAGATATGAAAATAGATTTTGATACAAAATTATTATTTTTATTTTATAAAATTTTAAAAATATATATAATTAGGTTTTTTTTAATTTTTTCTTGTTGATCTAAAATTTATTTCAAATTTAATATATATATATATTTAATATTTAAATTTAATTTGAATCCAATAAAAAAATAAATAAAATCGAATCAAATACTATAATTTTAAATTAATTTTTAATTTTTAAAATTTTTTTCGTACTCCTAACCATAGTTGCATTAGAGTTAAGGGTGACACTTACACATATCTTATTCTCTTTATTTTGATTGTGAAATTTGTCCATATGCTTAATTTCAATAATTACATTCAATTTTTATTTTTATAAGTTAAAGTAGAAAAAACTTTGCTCACGAAATTTAAAAGTTCCAATGATGGTATATAAAAAAGTAATAAATATAATTTTTAAAATTTACAAATAAAATTATTTGTTGAAAATATTTTTAAAAATATGAAAATAGTAATTAAAGAAAAATATTATTAAGTTATTTAATTGTTTAATATAATGTTTTATGGTCAAAATAATTGATTTAAAATTTAAATAACCCATGTAAAAAGGCATAGTATAATAAGAGTAATTGATTGTCTTGCTAAATGCTTGCCTTGAAGAGCACTCGATAATTGACTTCTATGGTTGAAATCGATTGCTATAAGTTATGAATATTCTAAAATTAAAAGAAGTCGCATTGTCTTATTTCATAAAACATTTTAAAGATAAAAAATAAGTGATAACGGCTTAAATTGAATCAAATTTGGTTCAATTTTTTTTAATACAATGCATAGATTTATGAATTTTTAAAACTTGATCAGATCTAAATTGAACATTTATACAATCTAAACAAAATTTTATTGATTTGATTCAGTTAAATTCATCAAATTTAAAATTTTATATATTATTTTAATATGATTTTTAATATATTTAAATATATTTAGATCTAAAATAAATATTTTTATTTTATAAAATTTTTAAAAATATATAAAAATTAATAAAAATATATAATTTAATTCGATTATTTTTTTTTATTTTTTACTTTTTAATATTAAATCTAATCTGAATTTAATATATATATATTTAATATCTGAATTTAATCTGAACCAAATAAAAAATAATTAGAATCAAATAATAAAATTTCGAATCGATTTTTAGTTTTTTCAATTTTTTTCTCGCCTTTACATAGAAGTAGTCGATTGCTGTAGTGAAAACTTTATAATTTTCAGAAAACAAAAAAATGATATAATCATTCAAATTAACAAATTTATTTATAATTATTCATAATGAGATCTTTATAATCAATTAAAATAATTTTTAATTGAAATAATACAATTAAAGAGACGAAATCTTATGATTCAATATTTATAAATAGACATGCTGTAAGTTCACTTGATATACATACAAATTCAAAACATTCTCTCTTTTATTTTTTTCTTTCTCGAATAGCTTGTTTCTTGGCATTATTTATTATAGGAAAACCTTGTTAAAGACAATATTTTTGTCTCTCGTTAAAGGATATACAGTGGTTTGAACTCACTAATACAAAGTGATTTAAATAAAATTTTATTATATCTTGAAAGTATTTTAATTATATTCTTTTTGCATACCATCATTTATAAAAATAAAATAAATCTTAAAAAAATAACATTCACAACACATTTTAAAATTATTTACGTTCATAATTAAAAGCTTCCATCCTAAGTTCAACACAAGACTTAAAAAGAAAGATTACAAGTGAAAATCATCAACAACGTGTCCATGGATTAGCTAGCTATATACCTTTTGTTGCTAACATTAATAAACTTATAATGACATGTATACTTCTTGTTATTATTTTATTTTTGTGATATACTTTAATTAAATTAATCTACTCCTACAACCTTTTTCTTTTTTATAAAAATTTATTTATCATTTTATTTCCCACTTGATGACTCACGAATTGAGAGGTGTTCATGGCAATATTATCGGTACAGTGTTAGTATTCATAGTATCGACCAATACATATCGGTTGAGGAAAACAAATACATTTAGGTGTATGTATCACGGATTTAAGAGGGAGTTTTGAATCTCACATCGAACATAATATGAGGGTCACTGAGGTATAAAAGGGTTCACACTACTTTCGCCTTGTGAGGCGTTTTTTGTAGGATAAAACCGTGAGGTCAAGGGGACCAAAATGAACAATATCTCACAATGATGTGAACTGTGACGGTCAGGTTGATTCGGGACACCGGAAGGGTGAATGTCCGGATCCCGGAGCCGCGCAGGTTCGGAGCTTGAGTCTCGACTCGTAACAAGTGGTATCAAAGCCAACCCTAAATCGTTCGATCTACGTCAAGCACCTCGAGAGAGGTAGGCATGGTGACCAACTTCCGTGACGAGGGCGTCACGAGGTTGGGTGCAAGAGAATATCACGGACCTAAGGGAGAGTCCTAAATCCCACATCAAACATAATAGGAGGGTCACTGGGGTATAAAAGAGTTCATACCACTTTCGCCTTGTGAGGCGTCTTTTGTAGGATAAAACCGTGAGACCAATGGAACCAAAGCGGACAATACCTCACAAGAGTGTGAGCTGTGACGGTCAGGCTGATTCGGGACGTCGGAAAGGTAAATGCTCGGGTCCCGAAGCCGCACGAATTAAGAGCTTGAATCTCGACCCGTGATATATGTATATGTATCGATTGAAAAATTAAATAATTTAAAAGAAACTTTATCTTGAGATTCCTCAAAATTTTATTTTAAACATTATTTTTATTAATAAAATTAATAAATTCTTCACAATTATACATATATTATAACTGAACATTCTAAAATTTTTTTTGAATATTTTATTAGATTCGTACTACCATTTTGATTGATAGAAGATTCGCCTTTTTTTTTTTTCACTTATTTTATTTTTTAATCACTACTCAATACTTTATCTTTGCTAATATTTCTGTTTCCATAATTTCATCAAAAAATAATGTGCATTTATTAAAATAGGCTACTGAACAAATAGCTTACTATATTTTCCAAACATAATTATATTTATTTCATTTATTTGAGATTTAAAAACTTTGAATATTAAATTTACAGTTATGGATTACTCATTTTTAATTATTAATTGAATAAAAATTAATCATTAAAAATAAATATTGAATTAATATCAGTAAATTATTGGAGATTTTTATTTATAAAATACATTTTTGATAATCAATTTATGTATTGAAATAAAAAAGTTCATAGATAAGAAAAAAAACCCCAAAATAAAGCGTAGGACACATTCCAACATAATATTAATTACGTCACATAATCTTATTTTTTAAAAAACTTAACTATATTTTATAGATTAATGTAATAATTAAGTAAGGCATATTTGTTTTAATAAATTTATTAATTATTCTTGTAATAAATAGATAATTTTTAAAAAAAATGTATCATAATATTTTTTATTAGTTTGATATCTAAAAAAAATTAAATTTTTGTTTTAGTATTTAAACTTTTATATTATCGAACACTTTAATGCTTAGGCAAATTACTTATATGACATTGATTTTCAATAAAATCATAACACATTATATAAATGTTAAATCATCGTTACATCATTTATTTTTCATATTAATATTTAAATTAAAAATTCAAAAAACTTAAAAAAAAAAAAAAAGGTTAATGAATGAAAAGAGAAAAAAAAAAAAAAGGTCAAAAAGAGGGAAAAAAGAAAGTAAGGAAGGCCTCATCGGTCGGTCAAGGGCTTGATCTAGGTCGATCTGCCTCCAACTTAACAAATTGGCGCTGACTTGGTTTGATTGAGCCAGACTGGTGCTGATTTGCCAAGTCTGAGGTAGGCCGACGTCGATCCGATCCATGGCCGGTTGGTCTGCATCGCCCATTCCTCCTTTCTCCGCTTTTTCTTGTCTCTCTCTCCATTCCTTTCTTCCCCTTCTCTCTCCCTTGTCTTTTCTTTTTATTTTTTTATGTTTTAAAAAATCAAAATTTATTTTTAAAATTTTTTTACTGATGTAATAATAGTAGCTAACGATAATTGAATATTTATTCATATGACATAATTTTATTAAATATTCATATTATATCAATTATTTATTTAATAATAACAATATAAAATATTAAAATATTAAAATATTTTTATCAAACATTTGAGTGTTAAAATAAAAATCTTTTTTTTTTTAGATATCTACCTAATAAAAAATATATAATACATGTATATTCTCCATATAAACCATTACGCGTGCACTGAAGCTCTCTGCTGAACACGCTCATCTTTATAATAATAAAATAAAGAAACATTACCCATTCCATAGCTTATTACAACTTTCTTCTTCGAAAAGAAATCACATTTATTAATATATTTTGAATAAAATAAATAGTAGTAGTAATTGTTTTGACAAGGTCAACTGATCAATTCGCACGATGACGCAAAAACGAGTTAGAAACAGAGAGATTAATGGGCATTAAAGTTCACGAAATCCTAAATCATCATCATATACCATACAGATCTCAAATACAATAAACCCTGTGATCTTTATAGAAGTATTATTATTTTTTACATCAAAACAAAGAAATAAAGGAATGAGTCATGTGTAAAAAGCAAAAGACAATAAAATAATAAATAAAGGTGAAACCCCAAATCTAATGTAGATCAGATTCGTTGGTAAAGGAAAGAATAATCCTCCTAGTGTTTCTGGGTAGTCTTATGATACTTGTCTCTGATCCATTGAATTCCGACAGAGGTTCCTTCTTTGACCTTCTTCACCCCAGTTGAAGCCACCGCTTTCGTCTTTCCAAGCCCTTCTCCAACCTTCTGCTTGTACTTTGCGGTTGTGCCACCGTTGCTGCTGTTTTTCTTCTTGTTATCAGTGGTGGTTGCTGGGGCTGGTTCGTTGTAGTCCCACTGGTCTGCCCATGATGTACCGTAGGAGTTGTTTCCTTCCATTTCTTTTCTTTTCCTTTTTTTGTTTTGACAAACTTAAGGGGTTTTCAGTTTTCAGGTGGAGGAGATCAAGGATAGATATATTGAGAGAAGAAGAAAGGGAGAAAGCGAGATGGAGGAAAAGATTGGGAATTTTATTGGTCAAAGTTGGGAAGGTTAAGAAATGGTGGGCGTGATTCGTGAACTTGATGTTCATTGCCTAACGCCTTTTTTTATAGGCGTCAACGAAATCAGGTTGGTCCAACTAACAAAACTGTACCGTGTTGGGCAATGGGACACGGTTTCGGATTTCAACACGTGTGGTTACTCTGGGCGAACTAAAGGGCAGTTCAGATTTTTTTCTAAGATATTAAAAAGCTTCTTCAACTATTTTACCTTTTAAAATAAATTTTTATATTTTACTGTACTTAAATAAAATTTTATTTTAAATAAAATATTAAATTTACTATAATAATTTATTTAAATATAAATTAATAGTAAAAATTTTATTTAAATACAAATTAATAATTAAAAAATTATTTAAATATAAATTAAAGTCAATTTAAATGCAACAAAAACATAATGCTTTATTTAAATAAAATAGTAAAATTTAAAATTTTAGCTAAGATTATTATTATCATAATAGATAACGTTCAATGTTTTATAAAAATATGGTATATATCAAAATTAGTTATTTTGACATATTATTTTAAATTTTTTGATTTTAGTATAAATATATTTAATTTATCTAAATAAAATAGTAAAATTTAAAATTTTACCTAAAATTATTAATATCGTATCGGATGACATTCGATTTTTTATAAAAATATTGTATATATCGATATCAGTTATTTTGATATATTATTCTAAATTTTTTTTGATTTAGTATAAGCATATTTATAAACATGTATAAATTTGTATATTATAATATTATTAATAATTTACAAAATAAATATGTAATATATTCAAAAATTAAATAAATAAGTTTAAATGTATAAAAAATAATATTATAAAATTTTTATAAAATTTTAAATACTTAATTTGATCATATAATTTTTAAATAAATATTTTTATGTAAATATCTTAAGATAAAAACAAAAATATGAAAAAACTAACCAAGATTTTATGATTCTTAAGTTTTATAAAAGGAGGATAATTGTTTTCTTAAAAGAGATTGAAATACTTATTAATTTTGATTTGAAAAAATAAAAAATAAAATTATAAATTTTATTTTGAAAAAATAAAGTATAAAAAAGTAAATTACAATAAAAAATAAAAAACTCAATTTTCAAAGATTATTTTATCATTTAATTTTATTTTTATTAGATGAAAAATATTTAAAAAATAAAAAATAAAATAAAAATTACAAAATATATTTTATATTCACATACTGACCGAAACATATTAATATACTAAAATTTATCGATATCAATCGAAACTAATGAAAACAATCAATAATTTTGAAACCTACTAATTTATTAAAATTCACCGAAATCAATGAAAATTTATAAAAATAATCGATATTATTTACTATCAAATTCATTAAAAAAAATTATTTTTAAATATATCATTTTTTGATATAACTAAAATATACCGACTGATGTAACCAATTCCTGACACCAAATTTGCAAATATTATTTTACCTAAAATCAAGGGAGGAAAGTAAGGAATGCAAGGCCCCTGCAAAAATTGAAAACCGAAAATGAAAAAAAAGGAAACAAACGAAGTTTTGGAAGGGCAGCTTGCTACTTCATTAAAGCATCAGGAGAAGACGTAGCAGTGATATTTTACAACAAATTTTTGCTACATCAGAACTAATTCTAGCATATTTTTCCTTCACGAAAACAGTTCATTTTGTTTTGTGATTCTGGATGAGCAAATTTATTAAATTTATCACAGTTCATTTCAAGAATCTGAACTGAAATACTTGTTGTATAGCGACCGCGATACGTTAAGAGCATTTCCATTTCTTTCTACCGGAAACAACTTCCGACTTTTCTGCCAATTGTTTGTCAGCTTTATCCACTCCCTCCTCCATTTCTTCAGCTTGAAGTCCTCGCCCTCCTCCAGACTTTCTATCAAAAGTTTGAAATATATTGCTGCTCGGGGGCCATAATAATCTCGTAGCAGTCCACTCCAATACTTGTTCCCTAAATAGAATTCAAGAAAAAGAGAAAGTAAATTACGGCATTGCAACTTTGAGCAGAAAATTGTGGGTCCTAAAATAGCACCCAAGTCCGACAATCCTGATGGTATATGCACCATAACCAAGAAATTTCGAAGAATGACTCAGGCAGAGAGGTGAAAAATACCATAATCGCGAAGTAGACTTGCTTCCTCCTCTGTATTGTCAAACCACATAGTTATTTGAGTCCTTGCATTCCACTCAAACTGCATTTTCAGATCACACCCATTAAAATTATCAAAATCTGCTTGCATTTTGAGTAGTCATATATAACTTTAATGGGATTCTAACCTGTTTTTTTTCTTTGTCATTTTGTGCAAGTTGTTTAGCACTTTCTAGCCATGGTCCCAGAAGAAACCCATCATTGCAAGCTAAGAGAGTGTCCATATCTTCAACAAGGTCTAAAAACTTCTGACTGAGAGAGGTTACCCCATCAACGTCTTTTAACTGATAGGCATCTATGATCTCTAAGAATAGCTCATTTGCATATTTAGCCAGAGCTTGTCTAGTCAAGTCAACTAAGTCATAGCTGGGCATCGAAAGTTGAGCGGCACGAAAGAAAAAAAAATCAAATGAAAAGAAGAATAACTATGGCTGATAGAGAATGCACATGCTAGAAGTTCTACAATGCATCACAATTGGCAAAGAGTTGCTAAAACACATGGTACTTTGAAACCAAAAATCTACCTGTAAGTGTTGCTTGCTGATAGTTCATCCCCACTTGCAATAAAAAGTTCTAGTGCCTTTATCACTTCAGAAGTTGAATACCACAGATGAGGTTGATCGTATGAATCTGTTTTCTCCCTTAGTATGGCTCTTCTTGACGTTGGTTTACCATAGTGTTGACAACTCTCACTTGGCGATGAAATAAAGGATGGGCTGACGTCTGGAAATGCCACAATAACATCCCTATTTTTGTCCTGCTCAAATGTGATCAATTATCAACTTTATATATAAAGATGATAAACATATGCTTGTAATTGTGTAAAGAAAAAACCATTCTGTATATGTTACTTGACAGAAAGATTTTAATAAAGGTTGATGGACTATTGTGCATGGTACAGCCTCCAATTACCAGTCACTTGTGCTCAAGGAACTGATGGACATTGACCCATACCATGATAAAGCTATATAAGCTGCATTAGGTATACACACAACACAAGATAAAATCCTTGCATGTATGAGGAAGTTGTGGGGATGAAAGCCTAATATAGCAGAACTACTTGACAAGATATTACACAGCGAGAAAAAAAATGAAGAAAGAAACAAAGAAACACTTGAAGAAGTTTGAGAACTTACATAGGCTCCATCTGTGCAATTGTAGATTGTGTGGTACAATATACTCCATGCATCTCTTATCGAAGGAATGGATCGACCATAACGCCTTGCTATATAAAGTTCAATCCATGACTGAAAGATGTATTTCAATAAACAAAAAAGGTTAGTTTACAAATTAGTTAGTTCGATTGAAAATGCATGCCTCCACACTTTCTGTTCCTTCACGTATTCTGTCCTATCAAGTAGAAGAATTATTTTCCACTCTTCCTTTTCCACCCTTCCTTTCCCATCCTCTCACTTCTCCTGTACGGAGTTCAGGGTTAATAATAATCATTCTTGCCCTGCCATTTGATTACTTTTATCTCCTTCTAGAGAACAAATTTTCCAAGAAAGAATCCTAATAAAAGAACAGAATTCATAACCTGTCCTATTCAGACATAAAGAAACAGAGGTTTAAATCTAGGACCTTTTAACCCAATTTACATGCATCTTTACTAAAATAATAATGGTGAATAGCACATACCGCATATAGGGCAATGTGTAAGAATTTAAAATTACCTTGACATCAACCTTTTTGTGCTGAAATGCCATTTCAGACATGAGATCATAGACAATTGGATTCTGTTCTATACCTTCCATCGACATTCCAATGCCAACCTTAACAGAAATTATTGATTAAGTCAAAAAAAGATATATAAATTATCAATAAATAAATAAATAAATCATTGCAAATAAATTTCAAATGACCAGAAGAGTCAGTTCCAAGAAAACTTGTCTGCATGACAATTAATGCTTATACATTCATGCATGCACATTGACATGAAAAGGGGAGTAAATGTTCCAGCCTATGATTAAAATGAGCACAATTTTGTATATCAATTGCTTACTGATATTTGTGGCAAGACCACTAAATCTTATGACATCCAACAACCATTTGATGATATTTTGGAACTAGAAAATATGTAATATAACTTACCATTGTCGAGTTTTCACTAGTAAGAGCTTCAATAGGCCCAGAAGCTACTGTATCCAAAATTCCATACATCTCAATGTTTCCTGCGAAGTTATGTAGCATGCACCTGTAAAGGAGCACACCAATAAATCAGATGAGAAAAAAAAAGAGAACAAGTTCCACGACTCCATTTGCTTGGCTTGAGGTTGGCAATAGAAGAACAACATTACTTTTAGTCCTGAAAATTAAATTCTGTAGGCACATTGGATGCTGTTTTTCTTATTCTATACTCTTTAGGGGAGTTGGGGTGTGGAATAAGAACCAAATGCATCTTAGATGACTCCAAATGGATTTGTTCAATGGTTAAAGCACACACTATAAATAAGAGGACCATCCCAAGCATCTTCATCTGTTGAAATGGAGACAACCAGGAGTATGCATCATCAATCTATAAGATAGAAAACTATGATATCTTACAATCTAAGTGATGGAAGAAATCCAGAAAATCATCATTCATAATCCCTAAAAGCATCTCATCTTGAAGTTAGTTAAGCAATTGAACCTATTTGACCCACCTCATTTCCAGCTTTAGTACCTGAGAAAAGTAATCATGTAGAACAACTATTATCTAGGAGTTGTTTAACACCAAGGTCCAGTGTAAATGTTGTACCCATATTTATTAAACGGATAAGTTTCCTACTATTTAAGGATTAAAATTATTGATAGAAACTTGTGGACACAGGAATATAGCAACATGTTGATTTTTGCGTATAGAACTGAAAAAAGGAAAGAAACAATGGAACAATCACTTTCCAGATGTAAGGAACACCATAAAACTGCTCTGATGTAATCCAGATGGGTTTCACTTCAGCAAACAAATCAAGGACAACCAGCTTTCCCAAGGGAACAGAATGCAGAAGTGCCTGAGGAAATCATAGTTACTGTCGGTCAATGAACAAGATATTTTTTTTTCTTCAAAACATAAGAAAAAAGAAAATGCCAGAATGCATAATAATGTCCGAACAGGCTCATATCTTTTGTGCATATAAGCACAAATATGATTTCATTTAAACAAACACATATTTACATAAATTATCCAATTTCATACTAGAAAACAGCAATATGTATGGACTCCAATTCTAGACAATAACATCATAACATCATGATAGCTTCGTGGAAAGCTAATTGCCCAGATCTTTTCATCCGAAAGGAAAGTATTGAATGTGGTTTAGAGTTTTGAAGAAGTTCGGTACTAATTGCTATTTGAGTGATGATTGGAAATGTAACTTTATTGACATATAAAATACCTAAAAGTGAGCTGTGAAATAAGTTCCTTTAAACCTCTAAACTCCGAAGGGCAACCAATATGCTATGGTAGTGAGCTTAAGCATATATCAAGGCCAGACATATGTTTGCATTTTCACTTGATAATCACATATATGACTGAAACATAATTAAATAAAGTTAATGGCCGCACACTTTAGGCCCCTCCCCCTCCCACCTGTTTCTCTTCACACAAATGTTTCCCACTATGCTTTAAACCTTCAGTTATGGCAATCAAAACCGAAAAACTTATCAACTTCGGTTCAAGTTGCAGATACTTGGAATAGAATAATAAAACCAAATCAACATATAAGACGAAAAGCTGATCTATTAGAGATTGGAAATGCAGTGACCAACACAGACAAGTAAAAGAAAAAAAATCCTATGGATATAACCTTCATTTGTAGAGGCCTCCAGAATGGATCATATGAAAACAGCCACCCCTGTGGAAAAAGTTTCAATCAGTTAGAAAATCAGAACAAAAGGAAATGAACTCTATAAAGATTTCAGGATACATGGAGCAATGACATGGTGCATATCATATGACATAGTGAGTGAGATTTGATCTATTGACCTGCATTAGCCACACAGCATTGTCATCACCACTCTGCATTCCACTAAAGATTGCTGCACCTAATGAGGAGATGTATGCTGGATCATCCACCGGGGGGGTATTCTCATCAAATGTATCACTGTATGGTTAAGCACATATAAAAACAATGCAGAAATAAAGCAATAAACAGAGTGATAAATTGCTTAATATATTAGATCTATAAATGGCAAAGGAACACAGTTTCTATAGACAAGATGGCAACATGTAAAAAAGAATGGATGGTTTTATTGAAGTGTCATTGTGGTCCAAGTTTTAATCCTCTAGTGCAGGATGAGGCCAAATGCAGAGAGGTAGAGAGGAAGAAACAATTGAATAAATAAGTGGAAACAAGATTAATAGAAAAGCAGTCCATTGAGCTAACAAAAGCATAATAACAATTATCACTCATAATTTTTAAGCCATAACATGCTATGTTGAATCTACAACATGTTTAATAAAAAAGGGATAATATGGAACCAAAATAGCCTCATAAACTGCTTCATGCATTCCAATTTACTTGAACCCATTTGACTTGAACAGATTTTAAGAAAACATCATTAAAAGCATCAAAAAGTTCTGTAAGCATAATAAGTATTGATTTTGTTGTCTTTTACAAGTAATTTTTTTAACAAAACAATGGGTGTAAAATATACTAACTAACAATAAAGCTTATCTACTCATGGCAGTAAATAAGTAAATTAGGCCTTCTAGAAAAGGAATCAAAGCCAAATAAAATGCTACTGAGGGAGCAATTTAGTGACTTTTACAGATCGGAATGACCACCATATCGGAGATTATTGATTACAAGTTAATGAAAACAGATCTTTAAAATTTTAAAGTTGAGAATTGAAAGAGGAAAAAATCTTACCAGTTGTAAATGTGGCTTGTCCTTCCATATTCTGACCAAAGATGGAAGCCCAAAACATAGAAAGAAAAGTTTAAAAGACTTGCATAAATTATTTTTTGAAGGGAAAGTAAAACCTAATAACTTCTATGTGCATGATAAAGAAGAGAAAAAGCTAATAGACATAAAGGACCATGGACTTGAAGGATCACACCTTTCAGTTGTTCCTCAATAAAAGTTCTCCCAATCTCAATGAACAATGGATCAGTTGCATCAAGAAGATAAGTGCAACACCATTTAACGTTACTTTTAACGGAAAACCTGGAGATCAGTTCATATAAATATATTATGAGGTTCCAGTCTTCTGTTAAATTTGTAAAAATTCTCAACTTGAATAAGAAAGCCAAAATTCCAACTACTATGTTCCATCAGATGAAGTAGAAAGCCTAAAACTGCAAACACTTCAAAGCAAGTATTCTTGCCAAGTTAACTGTACCTTGGAGAAAATAAGAGTTAATGACAAGTCAACAATATAATTTAGAGACATCAAAAGCAAAGTCATTTGTTCAATTCAGAGTGCTATGTAACTTACCAATTACCCAAGCGTGTTATCTTTGCTGAAGGGAATATATTTTTTAATGCTGCAGGAACATTGCCAGAAAAAGCTGGAAGGACTGCAAAATGTATTCACAAAATTTTAAAACTGTTAAATCAAGCAGGAAAGAAAATTGATAGAATAAGTGTTAAAATAGTTTCCTAGATCCTTGACAGGTGATGCCACCTCTTGCTTACAAGCTAACTCCAAATCAACAATTAGAACCAATCTTGCCATTATTTCCTACAAAGAACTTGATATAATTTTGTGTGTCAGTGAATTATTTCTGTTTGATACCTATATGACCTCTTGTAATGCTTTACCGGTTCAGATGAAACCAAGTAAATATGCCTACTTGATATTATGGAGCACAACCTACCAAAATCACCAAAAGATCCAAGCAATGACTACTTTTCTATGGAAGAATTCATAAAATACTTCTTTGTTCATTCAAAGACCAAAAGAGAAAGGAATGGGCAGAATTGAGATAAAAAGATTAAGATCTTTAAGGTATTCTAAAGTAGTAACAAAATTGAAAACAGAAAAGTAGTTTTCAGGTATTCTAAAGTAGTAACAAATTGACATTGCAAAGCAATTTAATTCATGAAAGAAAAATTGAAAAGCAATGGATAGCAACCTTTTTGCTGAGAAAAAAAATAATGGATGGTAATAGCAATTGGTACCTGGAGTCATTCCAAGTTCATACATTCTGGCAAGAATTTTCTTTTGCAAATTTAATTGTTCATTAAACCAACTTTGTGGCAGTGGTCCACCCCATCTGTGATTGAAGTAACACTTATTAGATAGGAAATCACAATAATGTCATCACAACCCAAAATTTCTATATCCTGGATTATTACAATAAGCCATTAGAAAAACGTTCACTGTCATCTGATTGAAAGGAAGTTAAAAACATTTTCCATTACCATGATCTTAAAATCCTTTGATATTAGACTTACCATGTTGGCTAAAACCCAAATTAATCAAGCCAAAGTCAAAAATATCTTCTAAAACTTTTACCAAAATGCTTACCCGTGCAAATTTCCCATACGTGACCAAGCAAGAAATGCAGGGCCTCCAAAGAAGTCATCCAAATCAGAATCGGTTACATTGAATTTCTGCTTGAGATAAAAAGTTGATAAGAAAAACTTAAATCTAAAGAACCCAACTTAAGAACATTATTTATAATTAGGTTCAACTAGAAGTTCAGAAAGAGCATGTAACAAGCATTTAAGCCCTGCTCAGCTATGCCATCCTTGTAGATCTATATAGGAAAAAAAAGAGTATCTAAGGTGGTAACACGGATGCCTACTGAGTGGCATCCCACTAATGCCAGAGATCTTTCAAATTTCAGGACATGCATGAGGAAGGGAAGCAGGGTTGCGGCATGGTGGAGGGCTGTGTATGTAACTAGCTTTTCTCCACAAGCAAGAAAAGATGAAAAGACAAAGGCAAATTGAAGAAAGTGAGCTAAGTTAGTCAAAATTTGATACTTTATATGAGGAAATTACCTGGAAAACCTTTTTCCAGATAGTTTCTTGCCCGGTAAATGCTAGTGGCAAGTTGATACCTTGGAGAGCCATCCAGTCAATTTCCTGTTCCCATCTTTCCCAGTCCCACCAAGAAAAAGTATCTTTCAAAGGCCAACAGATAAAGTGCATATACAATTAATCAGACCAAATTTTGAAATATTTCCAAAGGCATTAATAACTTATGGGAGATAGAAAGGACACTCAGAGCAGAAACTCACAGCTTGATGTAACAGCATTCTGGTAGTAACTCCATGGAATGGGTCTCTGGACCAAGATTTGCGCATCTTGAACACGAGGAAGAGAGCCTAACTTAGGTACTGAAAATAGCTGCGCACCACCAGTTTTTTGCCAGGATATATGTGAACCACACAAATACTTTAAGTACCAGTGCAGACCAGCCAAAACTTCCACCCCAGTGACAGCACTTATTCTGCTCCAGATCAGCCATACAAGCGTGAAGAAGATAATTATCATTCTCTACATTAGACATACACTTACTTGCATACAGCTTCTTCATGTAAGGCAAGGAGATTTAATAAATTTCAGTTATGGCCAAAAGCGGAAAAGAAATTATGCATTGCCTACAATTTCTATGACCTCAGTGTGTTAAATATAAAACACTGCCACAATCTCAAGTAAGTTCATATGTTGACTTAAGCAATCAAAGTCTTTGAATTGCTATGTTGTTACAAAAAATCAACTAAATTTAGCAAAGGGGAATGTCTTCAACACTAGTTAATGTCATTGAATACGAAAACTTCGACATGAAACAAATAAATCTTTACTTACAGAATCTCTGGAGCTCCGTGTTTACAAGAAGAAGGATGGTTTCTGATAATAAAACAAGCTCCCCCACCGCATTTCTCCTACAGAAAGATGCAGTTAATAAGAGAGAGTTTAATCCTTCAATTCATCATCTATGCAGCCAAACAGACTAGTGAGAAGGAAGCACCTTAGAAATGATCCGGAATTCAAAGGCGGAAGAGTGAGAAGGAAGCAGGCGAAGAAGAACGCCACGAGCAGCCGCAACCTGGAGCGAAGGAGGTGCTCTCTCGCGGTCTTGAATTTCGAGAAGCTTCGAAATGTATTGGACCCCGATGGTGGAGGAGTAAGCTAAGGAAAGGAACGAGAAAAGGAAGAAGAGAGAAATGGCGGAAAGTGGAGAGTCCATGGCGGTGGGCGATGGGGTTGAGAGGTTGAGGAAGAAAGAGGTAAAGGAATCCTGACCTAGGAACTGAGTTGAGAGTGAGGCGATTCTCTTTACAAAAATGAAATGGAATCATTGAAGCGAATGAGATCCAGGAGATTCTACAAAGAGCATCAGACAAATTCATGGCCGGCCTGAGCGTGCGAAAAGACAACACTAGAGTGGGTATCAACTATCCAAGAACAAGCAATAAAACAGAACAGAATTTGAAAATTGTTGGGGTGGGCATTTGTGAGAACTTGGGTTCAGACCAATAACCGGATCTAATGGGCCATCATTTTACCCATTTAACAACAACTAGGCCTTGCGGCCAACTTCTCCGTTTTGTGTTTTTCCCATTTCATCAAGACTTGGGCCTTAGCTTTGACCTTTAAGGTTAAGAAAGCAATGTTTATCGTAGTTTTTAAGACTAAAATTGTTAACTATTATTTTTACATTATAATACAAAATTTTTGAACTTCATATCCGACGCGGAAAATTTTTTTTAACGCAAGTTGCGACTTACATGACATCATTCAAAAAAAAAATTATAGCTGTTGCGGTAGCCGGTCAAAGTAGTAGGATTTTTTTTTATCAATATGCATAAAAATACGTTAAGAAAGATTGTTTTAAAGTAACGTGGATAAACAAAAAATTAGCTAAAAATTTTCGTGACATCATTTTCAAATTTTAAAATTTTCAAAAAATGCCACATCATGTTGATCGATATCTTTTCTTCATAGTCCACCCCATGAAGCGAGGTTAACTGTGCAAATCTGACGCTGTGAATAATTGGATAAAATTTAATAATCCAAGTAAAGGGACAATATTTTAACATATTAATGTATTGGGATTAAATTCATCATTTCATTTGAGTAAGGAACTAATTGTATAATTTGATCATATCATTACTTAATACTCCATTCGTCTCATATATAGTGTTTTGTTTTGTATACTTTTAGTTGTTGTAAAAAAACAAAAAAATTCTTACTTTTCTTTATTATCCTTTGGCTTTAACTATAACTATTCACTTTCTTCTCTTGTTGGGAAGGTAATTTGAGAAAGAAACTTTATAATAAATAAAAGTAAAAGTTATCCTCTTTGGTCTAGTGATTAAGACGTTTGAGGAGACATCAAGATTTTGGTTTCGAATTAGACCTTTTTATTTTTTTTTATTTGTATTAAGATTTTGTTATCATGATATAACAAAAAATAAAATAAAAATTTAATTTAAAATTTCTTAATCTTTGTGCAAAATCAAATCAGACACTATACATGAGTTGGAGGAGTGCTTATATAAGTCATAAGTCACAACCAACCATAACTTTTCTTTTCTTTTCTTTTTTTCTAAGCAACTCAATTAAAATTTGATATATCGATCAATTCCCATGTGAAATACGAGCAAACATCATTTGTTTTGTTTATGCTGCAACAAATCTTATAGAAAATGTTAAGAAATTAAGCAAACATATTCCTACACGAGCACGTAGTCGAGAAAATTTATCTTGTCATGACTTGGGACTGATCATTTGGCTCCTATCGTCATTTTCTAGCGAAAGCAAGTCTTTTTCTGTGGCCAAAAGAAAAATAAAAAGAAAACTGAGCAAAGCCAGAATTACGTTTCTACTCTTTCTCTCTTTGTCTCTCTCTCTCTCTCTCTATATATATATATATATATACATGTATAAATGTATATATAGCACTTGCAAGTGAGGATTAATGTCGTGTCTTGTTTGTGCTAGTTATAATCTTTTTGCATTTTTCCAACTGACTTTCCAAGCCATTCAACGAAATCTATGCAGTCAAATAAGACTCATAAATGTGCATTCATTAGCTTCAGCCTACTTCAGAGACATCATATATATGTATAGTTGAAGGTAAGCAAGGACCAGCTGTCACATGGTATTGAAAGAATTATAGAGCTGCTACCCCTTTGGGAATACAGGACAGGTCAAGGAAATCTTGAACGACAAAAGTGCTTGTAGCTAGGGTTTCCTAATTAAAGCCAAAAGAAAAGAAAGGTTTTGCAACAGTGAAAAGCCTTAAGTACACAAATTCGTGCATGAAATCATCAGGCTTTATGATCCATCACTTTTTCTTTTATGGGACCAACAAACCATGTGGATAGGCTTTTGAAAATTATGCAAGTCGGTTTATTATTGGCAAAGAAATGGAAGTGCTTAGAAAAGAGTCGACCCCATTGAGCCAAAAAGAAAAAACAAATAAAAATTTTCTTCAACAAAAAAAAAAAAAAAACTACCTAATAAATAATGCTAAAACATTATATTATTTGAATATACATAAGAAAGTGTTATTTAGGCTCATCTCATTTACCCATTTCACATACTAACTTTTTATTTTACAGATTTGTGAAAACTTATATATTATATAAAAGTGTGAAATGAATAAATTAGACGAGAGTATATAAAAATTTTCCCATATGTATATATAATTAAGCTTATCTTTTATAGTATGCTGTTTTCACTCTAACAAGTTTGTATAATTGTTTTTCTTATGATGAAGATGGTCCCGCGGTACAACCAAAAGCTAGCTAATTACATAATATAAATGTCAAGGAGAAAGGAAAAGGAAAGTCTTACAGGGCTGGGTTTATTGGTTGATATTTGATAATATAGAAATGCTTTTTATATAACTTTGTTGTCATGATATATATTTCAAAGTTTGGACTCACAAGATATTTGGATCAAGGGTAACTTAGATATTTAAAAATGAGATTTATTATAAAAGGGTTCACCTTGCTTTTCTTACAATCACATAAGAAGATTAGATTGATAACGTTACTGGACACTTTAAAAAAACATAAAATGTGAAGGCTATGGGTTACATATGAATTCTTATATGGGGCTGATGTCTAAATTAATTATGAGCTTCACCCATTTAATGCATCATATCTTAATAAGATTTATCATAACGTATAGATCTATGGATCTATCGTTAGATGTAAATTAAAGAAGTCGTTACTAATATTTTTTTTTGAATGTAATTAGTTACCTGATTGAATCTATTCCTTTTAAAGAGGAATATCAAGATTAACTTAGGCATTCTAAATAGTAGATTTTGGTCCACAAAAGCAAAGTTTGGTTCAGGAGTATAGTTACATGTGATGAAGGTTATAGTACTCTCACAGTGTTCATTCAAAAGATGATATTAATTTGATTTCAAGTTATCCAAGCCTTAAAATATATTTTTAATTTTACCAAATAATTTTAATATTGAAAAGTTTTCTTAAATTACTCCAATATATTGATAAAAATTTAGGAATTTTTTCTTACATCAAAAGTATTCAAAGAGACTATTTGTTATACTTTAAAGAGGTTTCGTCATCGAATTCACTTAATTTTGCTTGTATGTGTAAATTTCTATATACTTGGTGTATGATAAGAAATATCCTTTAATATTTTAGTAAGATTTTTTGTCAAAGATTATCTTTTAATATGTTGGTAGGATTTTATGAAAAAAATAAAAAATATTATATTATATTATATTATTTTATTTTTTTCAAATTTGATTTTTTTATAAAAAGTTATAAGACTTTCTAATATGGTGGTAAAAATCCTATTTTGAAAGTAAAATATTAGCCCTCTAATTTGTTGGTAAGGTTTTTTCTTAAAAATTATTGTTAAAATTTTTTTAAAAAATTTATAAGGCTTTCCAATACATTGGTAAAACTTTATTTTTTAAAATGATAGCCCTCCAATCTATTGATAAGGCTTTTTTGGTTTTTCTTGAAATATTTATATCTATATTCATAAATAAAGATAAATATTAAACTAATAAATAAAATAAATGAATAAATAGATAAATAAAGAATTTAACCAAAAAAAAAAAAACTAAAACTTGGTTTAGAGTAAAGGCTTGGGGGTGCGACTCGACTTTAGGCACAAACGAGGGTTGGACCAACTTAGCTCGTACTAATTGGCTCGGCTGGAACCGAGTTATATATCCTTGTTAGGCAAGAATGTTGTAAAGACCTAGACACCCACTCTATTTGAGTCGAATCAAGTATGACCTTTGAATTTGAAAAATAACTTGGATTGAACCAAGATTGGGTGACTGGGACTAAAATACAAGTCAAGATAAAGTGATCAAGACTGGATCAAGGTTGAAAATAAGTGTTCAAAATGAAACTACGAATCATAAGAAATGATTTGGACTAAGCTAAGATCAAGTGACTGGGACAAAATCATGAGTAAAAAATAAGCGATCAGGACCAAGTTGAGATTGAAAATAAATGATTAGGATGAAACCACGAATTATAAGAAATGATCTGGACAAAGCCAAGATCAAGTAATCGAGATGAAACCATAAGTCAAAATAAAGTGATCAGGATCGAGTCAATGTTAAAAATAAATGATCAAGATGGAACCACAAATCATAATAAATGATTTGGACTGAGCCAAGATCAAGTGATCGAGATGAAACCACGAGTCAAAATAAAGTAACCAAAATTGAGTTGAGGTCAAAAATAAATGATCAGGACGAAATTATGAATCATAAAAAATGATCTGGATAAGCCAAGATCAAGTGACTAGGATGAAACTATGAGTCAAAGTAAAGTGACTAGGATCGAGATGAGGTCAAAAATTAATGACCAGAATGAAATCACGAATCATAAGAAATAATCTGAATTGAGTCAAGATCAAGTGATCGGATAATATAAATGCATGTTCTATCTATAATGCAAATGAAACATTAATTATGGTACTAAGGCTTCTGTATTCTCATTTTTACACATCTTTAGCAAAGAAATCATCCTTCATTACCCTGAATATTCATCTACATTGCACATTTTAGTGAAAAAACCATAATGAATACACGTTTTTGGTAAAGAAACCATCCTTTATCAACTTGAATGCACATCTTGGCAAAGAAACCATCTTTTATCAGTCTAAATGCACATCTTTGGTAAAAAAAATCATTTTTTTATCAACCTGAAGGCACATCTTTGGCAAAAAAACCCTTTTTCATCAACCTGAATGCATATCTTTAGCAAAAAAATCATTTTTTATCAGCCTAAATGCTTATTTTTATCCTCAAGAAGGTTATGGGAGCTATTTTATTCTTATTCTAGAGAAGTTCATCTTTGGTTCTTGTCTCATTCAATCCTTCAAAATAACATAATTTCTTATAATTTTGTTCAATTATT